ACTGGAAGCGGGCATTCCGTATTTCAATTGCCGTGTGTGTGTTGGGTCCTATGAGTATTAAATGTTTCCATATATAAGTCATCTTTTGATGCATAATAAACACTAAATAACTGCTAAGAGCATTAGCTGAGTATTTTCTGTTTTGTAGTGCACACTTTAGCTCTGTTGTTCCTTCGAAACTTGATCTGTGGTCCTAAGTGCTGTAGTGAAAGTCAACAGCTATAAATAATTTGTTGATAAGGTCCAGAAAACAACGTAAGAAAGATAAAATAACGTAAAAGGTTATAGATGCGCCTAGCTTTTGTGAGTTAAGACGAAATGTCAACTGAAGGGTAATTCCTAAATATTTGTTGTTCTTCCTTCAGTTAATTTTTTTCAAGGAATAACCTTTTTTTAATAACTATTGTATGTTGTCTCTAGTGCTTCATGCTCAAGTGAAATTTCAGTGAACGTAAGTGACGCGTTCCAACGTATTATGCTGAACAAGAGATTCGGAAGCTGGATTGAATTAGATAATGCGCTAAAGGATTTCCATAAAGTATGATAGGATAAATCTATGTTTTCTCAGATGACCCATACACACTATGTTCACGCAGAAAGTAGGTTGTTGAAGGATGTGAGATATAAATGCTTGTTCGTAGTGTTTCCTTGCACGTTTGGTCGTAAACGTAAATCAGGTCTGAATGTGAATAAAAAACCGTGAGGACTCTAACTAATGTGTTACATTTAAGGTCTAAATTTTTAAATTGCCAATCGATGTTTCGCGTAAGATTGGAGGGTCAACAATACGTTATAAAATCTTACAACATGTTTCACAACCATCCGTGTACTAGTTCGTGGATGGTTTGTGATCCGTTGAGTAGACGATTGTCATCAGAAGAAAAAGAAAACTTGAAAACAGTTATATTGCACTGTCAGTCGACGGACGAAGTTATCGAAAGTATTAAGGAAAGAACAGGTAAGCAGGTGACCGCTGCTGATGTGAAAAATATGAAAGCTGAACTCTCCACTGGTAAGTGTATATAAATATATTTCAGGTTGGACTCGGAAGCAGGTATTGCAGATGATGCGACAAAACGGTGAGTTAGAGAGCATGCAGAAAATGGATGTATTACGGCGATATGCTTCAGCAGTTATGATCAGATATGGCTGTACAATCAATATCCCTAAGTCGTGTGTATTGATTCTACTTATAAAACTAATAATAAAAAGTGAATATGATTTTCGTTTTGTTCTACTATGTAGATATTCATTATTCCAGTTAGTGGTGACAGACAATTGGGGTCGGGGTCGAACTGTTATGTTTGCATGGACACAAAAAGAAAAGCGTGCCGATGTCGCAAAAGCGACAGCTTGCACAAATGCATGTACAAGGCTTTTAAGTGGAGTTCAATGACATTCTCTAGAAAAAGCATTGAAGACCAAGTAATCAGTGGAAGAACATACAATTATGGTGCTCCACAGCGTCTTATCCCCTTACTTAACATGTTGACTCCATTTGCAAGATCCAAGGTGTTATACGAACTTTAAAAAATGCGTTTTATTAAATTAGAATATGAAAGCGGCGAGTGGTTGTTTATGGTTGACTGCGGACAACATTACGAAGTGGATGTAAGTATTTGTCAATGTAATTGTAGCACGTTTAATATGTGTCGATATCCGTGCCGTCATCTCCTGCTGGCATATGTTAAAAAACGAAATCTAACAGGTAAGCTATTTAAATTATAAAATATAAACTGCATAGGTGTTGCTGCAGATGGAAATTAGACAATACGCACAACTTACAAATTAACACAGCAATTTCATTACGGAAACGGAGTAAAGAATATATACAACTTCAACGGCTCCAAAGAATGTGCAAACAACAAATTGTTGAGAAATATGGTGAACGCTTCGCGAATCAGGTGGAGAGAAAAGTCTACAATTTTTACTTAAGAATTATAAACAGCTAGACATCAGGTTTACGATTAACAGTTCTTTGTGGCTTTATTTTATACCACTATTAATACAACTTGTAAACTTATCTTTCCACTTTAGTAGTCATGAAAAATCAATAAACTTTTTCTCATTTTTTATTTTCGTCTTCTTCATACTTTCATGGGGAGGTTTACCAATCGCTTTAACGAATAATTGTGTGTGAAAATTAAGAATTTGTACTACTGTATTAGTTACGAACTGTCGTTAGAATTTAGCGTTATATCGTTGTTCATTGTGACGAATCATCGAGTCAAATAAAACAACAATGCGACTTCCACGTAAAACCTTACAGATTAAACAACCGCCTTACATATTTTTCGTTGTCAGATTACGTCCATTATCAAGTTAGTATTAGTATGGAACTAGACAATTTCATGCAGCTAGTTTCCTGATAAGATGGATTACGTAATCCTTAGACCACCCTTCCACTCACACTTCTTTGCTAAATTATGTTAACTCTTCAGATTGTCTTCACTTATCTTATTAGTTCTTAATTCACTGATTTATTCATTACATCTAGAATTATCACACAATTTATCTTATATGCTTCTGAGCTTCACTCGACTATTACACCACCCATCCTTTATGTTCCCTTAAGTCTAACGCCAAATGACCTTTGACCTGTTCAAGCATATACATATGTATAGTTATTATTGATAACCTAGGTCATTCCAATTCTTTGCTTTCTATTATCTTTCATACTATTTCTTCCCTCAATTTTAAATTATAATGCATATTCAGTTGTATGCAACTTGTGAGAAACCACGAAATGTAATGCAGTCACATGATTCTGCGTCAATATTTGTTTTGGCTTTATTTAGACCATAATTATACAAACTTACAGGATTTATAATGTAAAACACTGCGTATGGTTGTTATATTTATATTTAAGTAATTCATTAGATGAGTGAACATAGCAGTAGGCAATATAAAACAGTTATCGTAAACTTGTAAACCGGTCTTCCACACGATCTTCCGTAATCCTAAATTCCATAAGCTTCATACTATTCTGAAAAACAACAAATCCGTTTTGAGACAAACAATTAAACTTTGTTCTCAGTATCATATTCAATAAGTTATTCAAATAGCAAGTAACAGACTGCCTATAAGTCTTTTATTTACAAGTAGTGACATTCATTCATAACTTCCTAAGTAACACAACAACTGTATTACCGAGATGGAGTGAAGAGTTTATAATAACTCATTTGTGAACCCTATAACAGACACGTCACAAATCAGTATTAACTAAAAAACATGGTTGTGTCACCATTCTCACAAGAAACACCGATCGTTTTATTCATGAAGATTTTGTTCTTACTTGATGTGGTGTTATACACTATTACTGCAGACGTTCACAAAGCCGCTGGACAACACTATAAACGTCAATTGTGACTCACATAATTTTTCTCAGATACGTTACATAATTATGTCACTTCAGTACAAAACAATGGTACCTCTAATGGATATGACTGTTTATGGCTAAATACAAACAAGTTATATAATATTCACAATTAGGTTAACGCTTGATTGCTTCTACTTACATTTTATAAACAACTACCGACATCCATGTTCACCGTCACCGCAATCAAGGAGGTGAGCCATATGTAAAAGATTTTACGGTTCATTTTCATGAAAACTCAATCTGTGATGTATTTTTTGACTAGAAACACGGTGAACTTTACTTGCTTGAGTTTGTATTGTTACAAATAACTATATTAAGCTAACTTCAGATTTACTTACGTGGTGAGCAAGAAATACGTCAAACTGCCAATAAATTGGAATAAAAACTATGTTACAAGCACTAGCAATACAGAAATTGATGTGTCATGCAAAAAAGCCTGTTAATAGCTGATAAATAACGACACAAAAAATCCACGACAATATGTAACGTGTGCGCAAAAATCCGTGGCTTACCCGCCAGTCCGTGCCTCTATAACGTGTTCAGATGTGTTTGTTTAAAGGCTTGACTCAATCTGTGAAGTTTTTGTGATTTCGATTCTACACATCAAATTTATGGTGCAAAAAAGGGCAGAGAATCGGAAGGACTGATATAGATCAATAGAGGCAAGCTGATTTTGGTAACTGATATAACGAACTTCCAAAACGAAGGCAAATGGTTCTTTCTATTAGTTAGAAAATTCCTAGGCGGTAAATTACGGTCAGTAACAACACAGATGTCTGATGACAATAAACTGAGAACTGAAATCTGAAATTGATACCTCAAAATTTCGTATGCACTACAGTGTAGTGTCAGCGAAATGTCACATAACCCCAGACAAATCTTTCGACAGTCGGGTCAGTGAATATCGAACAGTTCACCGATCCCTGTCAAGTTCAAGAGGTTAATAACAATGTTTGTAGTATTAAAATTATAGAAACGTGAATAACAGCAAAAGTTTTATGCAAACAGATCTTTTCACTTTTTCAACTTTGATTATATTATCGAAACATTCTGGCGTTCCTTATGTTTGTATTTCTCAAAATCTCGACCTTAGTGGACTTAGTTGCTAGCGTAGTTTCAATTAATGGACAACCGACAACACTGTGCGACAATCATTCAAAAAGCATGGTTCTCTTATCACAACAAACAGATATTTAAGATCTTTAAATTTGCAATAAAAATCTTGGTTTGTAAACATTTTTTACATTAAGTTTTAGGAAAACCTGCCAAAAAAACATCTCCTTAAAATACTTCTACCTGAGGACTACCGAATTTTAATCTCAGATAGATTATGTGACACGGCTGTTTTATTTAGGTAACTAATAGTATTATTATTACTTCGAAAATTTTGGTTGGATGGGGTAAAATTTCCCCCGGTCATATGTTTCAAAGTAAATGTGAAGAATATTTCTTGTTCATTTACTAATATTTCTCCTGTGAGTTTATTTAATACAAACAATGTAAGATTACGTAAAACGTTTCACGTGTTTAGATTACGAAGTGTATCGTGCAATCAGTCGGTAGAAGAAAATACCTCGATCTAGTGTTTGAAGATTCAAGTGCTTATTTCCAACCTCATTTTATGAAAGAGAGGTGTCTTTCAGATGTTCTAATTACACGAAAGGTAAAGCAGTTAAGGTTCTTACCCAAGCTTCCGATTTTGGGAAAAATTTGACCTATTTTGGGGAAGCCGCTGTAGTAAATTTTAGGGAAATGGCACAAGAACCCCAAAATTTCCCCAAAGTTAGGAGCTTGAGAATAATTACTAAAAATAAAGATTGTCAGTATACAATCAATTCTCGTTCTTTGATATGATTTAATTATTATAATTGCGCATTGCCTCACCAATTGTTAAGACGTAGAACTAACTTCCTACTCACATTTTAAACTCGACTAAGTGTGTTACCATTCCTAATAGAATATGTACTAATTGCTTGAGTTTATTGTTTTGACGATGTGATCCATAGATGCAGTGTATATTCTAAAACGTATAATGGACACAGCATTTGAAGTCTCTGTTAACTGACCACAGCTTTCAAACACCTGTCATTCTGCACAAAAGCCCTACATTAGACAAGTCATCAAATGACTGACTAAGTCTCTGAATATTGTACTAACAAGCAGACTGTTGTTATGGGTTGCTGTACGAGTAACATATAAGCCAATCAAAGCAAACAATAATGGTGGGTTTATAAGATATAGTTAAAATGTTTCTTTTGCTCTCTGAGTATTCTTCCTTTAAACGAGAAGGTTTCAGAGGAAGTCGATATGAATATATTTTAAACTTAAGTATTCAAACGCATTTTAGTGAATAAAAGCGACCTTTGTAAACGATATTGGTTACACCGTGCAAAGAATTATGACGCAACACTGTGCAGTAGACTTTTGAATTACTATGTATTTTTCCACAGTCATTAAAATAAATTATGTGTTCAAGCTTATTGGGAATGTCATTTTAGGACTTAAATCTCAAAACCGGGTAAATAAAAGGTATCTCCATTCTGTATGATTATTTTTCGGGATTTGATTTTTCACCAACGTATCTAGTCTAATAACAGTAAGTGCTTTGCTTATTCCTATTGTAAATTTACCCTTGTTGCTGTTCAAAATGGTTTCCAAAATATGGTAAATAAAGAAATATGCTTTCACTTTTTATTGTTATTTTCTTAAAGTCCTCATTTGATAGACGGCTGACGATTGACTCTTTTTAAAGAGAATAAACTAATTGGTTTAAAATGTTTTCTGATCGTAACTAGGGAATGATTTTCTTGTTATTTCTTTATCACGATGCTATGTCGGTTATTAATTAAAAAAAGCTATGTCGTTCAGTCGATTCACATTAAGATGCTGGAAGAATATTTGAAATGAATTTACTTTGATATTTCTGCTCCAAGATGTACATGAAGTTACAGATATCTTGATAGAATCATTGATGATGTATGTTAGTGCTTAACTTAAAGTATATTATTCTCCATATTTATTTGTGTAAAAGCGTTTCATTGAAGAACTTCCAGCTGCCTACGGAGGGCATCAGAATCACTGGCGTCATTTGGATGGTAAAGGTTTGTTTCAATTTTATCTCAGGTAGACAAAAAATGTTAATGTCTTTATCTCTATTGGGCTAAAAACCACTTACATAATTCATACCTAGTAACCATGTGACATGAAATGATTTGATTGAGTTCTGAATACACTTGCAAGTGACAAGAAATGTAAATAGCACACTAAATTACTACTAGTTAACAGCAGTAAAGGTACGATTGCACATAAAATAAATTAGTGTTCTTTGACGCCAAAATAAATCACTTCATTATAGTGGCGAACAAATATAAAAGCAACAAACTACATTCCGTAATTTATCTTTTATAAGGTTACAGCAAGTTGTTTTAATATACCGAGCAAAAGTAAGACTGAAATGACTGAAAGGCATCTAAGTGCACTAATTAGGAGAACGGAAATTACCATCCGATTTGCAAATGTATTTAAACCAACAGGGTTAAAATGCCTGGTCTATATGACCAACTATTGTCCCATTTAAGGAAACCATTATTTCAGTGCAATGTATAGTTTAAACTTAACAGAATGACCCATAGACAAATGGATTACATATATAAGGAACTTGCTATTAATCTATTACTGGCAGATTTTTCATGTCCACTTTGGGAAACGATTAATTAAAGATGTCTACCAAACATTTTCACCTGCATAAAAATTACCTACCAACAAGCGTCGACCAGCGGTAAAGCTGAAAGTGGATTTGGTTTCTACTTTCTCGATGATAAAATATCAAGAAAACGTTTTGAGACAATAAAAATCTGTTTATAAAAGACCAATGATGGGTAACTGACTATGAAACTTGCTAAACTCAATTTATAGTGCGATATGCGCTACTTATATGGACATAAATAGGTAGTATGTAGTAGGAGATGGAATTGAATTGTTTATTAACACAAGAATGAAATGAATAGAAGGAAAACAAACAGCAATCAGAATAAAAACAGGATCGGAATTATGATAAAATATGTAAAAGACAACTCAATGAATACGTGCAAATTATGTATTCAGTGTATGATTTTTATGTTTTACAAAGGCACTGTGTGATCTGATGTAAAACAGTAAAACTATTTAACGTACCTGAATTCTTGTTCACTAAAATAGTAGTACAAAGGGTTACTTTATTATATCTCTCACTGTATGAGTTTGCAGTTTTATGTCAAATATAAAGAATTAGATCTCCTATGAAAATGCGTATCGAATGTGGTTGTTCATCAAGATTTAGTGTTAAAAATGTGTAAGTTAAAACTCAAGAAGTACCAATGACCTCTGTATCGAAGAAAACTTTTCATGAATGTTAATTTAAAAAATAATGGGTTCGCGAAAATCTCGAAAGGAAGGATTAAGAGACATTGTTGCTCACTATGTTCAATTATTTTATATGTTAGTAACATTGTTTTATTGTATGACAGAATCGATATCATTGATATGCACCCTTTTGCCTGCTTCATTCTGAGAGCAAACTTTCCCATAAAAACCTTTTTCGTGACATCAAAAAGGCAGTCAGTTTTGTGAGTTGTTAAGAATTACAGCAGAAAAGCAAGATTTTCTTGGAGGGGTATTTATGTTTGTTAGAACCATTTCTAATTTTCAAAACAGTTTTGCATTTTTATATGTTTAGTTGTCGAAAGGTTGGATTACTTATCTGATGTACTTGAATTACCATCACTGAACTGCAAGCCAAATTTGAAGCGTATTATCAACTTGCTTACTACAACAGTACAGCCTGAAGTATTAAGTCCGATGTCACGATACAAACTGCTTCAAATGAAACAAAAATTGGTTCAATGTGGTAAGGCACAGAATAAATTAGAGCAACACAGAGAGAAAACCCAAAAACAGATGAATTATTTTAATAGTTACAGTAAAGTCCCGAGAAATATGAATGTAAGTTAATTGAAATTGTATTCAGTTTCATTGTTATTAGTTTACTCCGACAGTCTGATATTTAATGTTTGATGAACGTATTTACATATATTCGGATCTATTCTTACTTAGTTTCTGTCTCATTATCTGCGTAAAGTGTGGGAAAATTCAATTTTTGTGCCCCAACACAATACGAATTGACAATAATTGATTGTTCTCTGAGATTCTTCACAAATATTGTTAGGGTAGTATTCAGTGCCATATTTTCTCCGATACTAGAATAATTCAGTTTTGTAAAGTATTCACTAGGGCCATTTGTTACTAAAATGATAATTTATTTATTATAATTAGCTATATAAAAGTGATCTCATCTTTGTTTTTAAGCAAACTCGTAAAATTCAGCAAACTATTGAATTAGTTTACAGCCAGTATTTGAATGAACTCGTGATCATTTATCAAGTGAACATTTTGGAAGCCATATTCGCGACTTAGTTACTCCTGTAATTATTACTCCATAAAATCAATGTTTATTTATAAGTTTTAAACCTATTTCTGTTCAGAGTTGTAACTAATGAAGACATGCGTCAGATAGGTGTCTTCTCAAACTGTTGTGTGCACATCAACTCAGATTTAAAGCACGTATACAGCCAATTATACCTATTAACAACCATGTTAAGTTATTCAGTATTTCAATAGAGATATTTCTTTTTTTCGATCACTTAAGCACTCTGTATTTATGGATTGCCTGGTTATGGTGGCAACGCAATAATGTTTCTTACAGGAAGTAACGTTAGAAAATAATGCATAGTATTATTAAGAGATGCTGAAACGATTGTTGGCAAACATGTATGACAAAACATATTATATTGGAAGGTTGAACATCAAATTCTAGGTTTCAAGGGACCGCGATCTATGTAACAGCACTTTTTATTTGTTTGCCTAAAGTTTTATGTTGATTCATATCGGCGATAAAACATCTTAACAATTTGTAAGATCTAAAGTCGCTTATTATTAGTTTAAAGGATGATTTATTAATTAGATTCAGTAAGGTTACGTTCGTATTATCATATTTAATATTAGTAGTAGGGATAATGTAATCCTACACATTCGTCGACCTTTACATAAGAAATTTATATCTATATATGTTTTTTTAAATAGTGTATACAGAACTCACTCAATAAAAAAACCGATCTGCTTGCTCATGAATATTTGGATGAAATGTCTGATAAACTAGAAGAAGCAGAACAGTTGTACAAATGGAGTCAATGTCTACCTCAGTTGTGATTTAAAAGAACAGACTTTGTTTACTAAGAGTATGTTTTGAGTAAAAGAGAAAAAAATAGAGAAATTACTTTAATAAATGTCAATGATATGTTTGATACTTGTTCTGCCATGGTGAATATTTATACTAGTTAGTGTTATTTCTAGAATTTATAAGGGTTCTTTTTAAATCTCGCTTAGTCGATCTCTCAAAGTAGGCTGCAATTTTTCTGGTATATATACCCTATCCATATATTGTATTTAAACTTGCCTACTATGAATAAAAGCAACCAAAATACCGAATTGCACATAAGAGTCATGAAACTAAGGGATAAAGTATGTCTCAAGAGCACTAAGATTATGAACAATAAAAGTTACTCAGTGAACAATCTAACTTTCTGTCGTAGTGTTCTAGTTTTAGTGAGAAAACATCATATGACTTTCCAATGAGAATATCAGAATTTAGTGCGATTACAATAAAAACTGTTTGTTGAATGGGGAACGTGTCCAAAGTAAGCAGTTTTTCAAGTTAAGAGCAATAGAATGTCCAGCTAGAATAGTTGATGAACTGGTGGAATACAAAGTAAAATTTATAGATGGATGGGGACAGAAAGTCTGTTGCAACAGAATATCACATGCTCGCGCAGGTCTAGAAATGCTCAGCTTATAATTTAGACTACTTACAATTACAAAGTAGCGTCCAAACAACAAATTAAAAAATGAATGAAGGTCGAGAGCCGTTAACATTTGACATACTTCTTGGGATACTACTGTTACAGATACTCCAGCCTTATTATATTTATTAACTTGAGGTAAAGATATAACACTGTTGAGCTCATGGGTGCGTAGCAGCTGGAGTATAAAAGTACACTGTTATTCTGGAGACTACATTGGAACATTCGAGAATAATTTATAAGCAGATGGTTAAGTTAGTTTTGTCCATAGAAAGCCGTACATTTCCGAAGTACCAAATATTTTTCTGATGATAAGAAGAACTAGTGGACGAAGAGGGTCCAACGAATATTTTGTCATGGAAAAGTAAGAAAACATCCTCAAATTGGTTTCTGAGAACTTCGGATTTAGAGGAAATAATGTTCCATTTCAGAACCGTACAAGTGGATAACTAGTTTAATTGAAATGAGAATAAATGCCAGGATTAATTTTGTTACAATCGTTGTATTAAGTTTAAGTAAAACTTATCATTACTGGCCAAATAATTCTACCACCCTACACTGCTTTTAGTATAAACAGATAACTTTATAGTTTAGAAATATTGCTTTGATTATATACGAACATTAATAATCTTAAAGATGGTATTCGTTGCAATTTATTCTCAAAATATCACTTAGTAAACTATGTTCGTATAGGCAGTGTCCGAAATATGATTCTGATACACAGTGTGCTAAGCGCTAAAATCCAACTGATCGCTTGAGTGAGAACACAATGGTGAGTAAGAAAGTGTATTGAGATACCGAATCAAATGCACAAATACCCATTCATATATATACCACTCTATCCTTAGGAATTTGACCTGTTTCTTAGCCAATGAAATGTACTTTTATTAGATCACTCCTGGTTGCCAACGATCGACCTTCTCATTAGGCTAATTTTGACTGAATCTCTATATCAAATCATTTGATGCTACTCCTTTTGATGTGAAGTGTGTTAAACGATTGAAATTCCGTAACATTCTGTGTTAACAATAAAGTTCTGTATTAACACATTTACTGATTTAAGGAAAATCCTCATCAGTGTTTTTCAACGCCTGTGATTAGATTTTAATCACGATGCACCGAAATTTGATTCAGAATGAGTTATTTGTATCATATGCAAAAGCAATGGTACATCAGAGGCTGGTTGGTTATTTAAGTTCTTCAATCGATACAAACAACTAGTACAAATATCGAGTTCTTGCTTAATTTGTAATTTATCTTTGGACTAACTAATTATTCACTAGATAACTGATTTAGTTAAATTATAAAGACGAATAGTAAGGTAGTGTAGATAGTAAAAGTATCATTGTTAGAAGAAAAGATTAGAAATGGAGAATATGATTCAGGATTGAATAAGGAATTGGCAGACTAAAAAATGGATTGGTTTTTAGGCTGAGGATTTAGAAGAAAATATAGATTGGATGCATCTGTTGAATCGTGTCCGAATGTGAGTCAATTCAAACAAGATTTTCAATCGCTGGTAGTAATAACTGCGCATATAGCAACCAGGTGATCTACGCCTAGTGATACAGCTCAATTTAATAATCAATTGCTTTATGGTCTAGTACAAAGTTTGATCTTGAATGCCTCTATCTTACAACCTTGATTGGTGGCTTTTTTCCAAGTAAAGAGAGTAGTCATTGTCATGACTTTTATCTTGTTGATTATCAGGTGACTAAATCGCCAATCAGAACAAGACTTATATGACCTTGACACTGTGTCAAATCAATGACGCATAAAAACGGTACGAGCAGTCTAGAGTCAACTATTAGTCCTTATTAGTTCTTTTCGTCTACTCCGGGCCATTTGAGTCCAGAATATAAATCTCAGCTCCCACTGTATGAAACAAGTGTTTCAGATATACACAGTTTATATACGAGTAAATCGAACCGCATCATACAGCATCAAGCCAAAAGTGGCTGTGATAGTGAGAAACTGTAACTAATAGATAGGGAATATATCAAGAATGGTAAATCGTATAACTGCAGCCAATAAATCAAATGTAAGTTCATGATAAAGGGAATATGAATGTATATAATCCAGTTACTTAACACTTATGCAGTAAGAATATATATAATGACGGTCCATAAATAGTTTCCTGATGTTACCCATAATTTAATCTTCGTTAGAATATACCAGTCACAATAAATGTTATCATAACTTTATTATCATGAAGTGATTGGTATGGTCCAGCCTTTAAATAAGATTGCATGAAATAATGACGATAATCAATGTGGATATCAATAATAAAATATCATTTTAAGGTCCTGGAATGTTGAACTATTGATAGTAAGGATGTAATGGTGCGTGAGATTATAACTAAATACTTTACTACCCTAGTATGGTACTCTTCATCTGGTGAGGACCTATGGCTCTATTAGGGATAGAATCCAGGACTACTAAGAATTACACATACCAAATCGAAACAACTGTCTAGTGCCCATAAATTTTCAATGCTACCCCAACTGAGGCCAATTAGTAATAAATACAACCTATAAATTTAACATATCTTCACAAAACTAATTAAAAAATCAACAATAATAATAAAATAATTCATTTAAATCTATATAACAAAATAAAATAATCCAGTATATTGGCGAAAACAAAACAGTTGAGAAACTAACAAATATAAAATTCATACAGTAAATATAAGACAAATCATGAGTAAGAAAACTTATCTACGCAATTAGCTTGCTTACATGATCTATCTTTAAATATTTCATAAGCTGAATATTAATTTGTAACAGAACGGATTTCACAAAATGGATCATCAACATTAAAACAATAAGCGTAATAATAATACTGAGCACATTGTTTAAAAAGTTAGCCGGTGAAAAGGTCTGTAATGTATTTATATATTCTGACTATAATATATTTTATTTATTTTTCAGTGATGAATTCTATAAGGATGGCCACATGGTGCACGATCACTAAATGTCGAGTTCATCTGCTTCAAAGTTCTATATGATCGATGCGAATTTCCTGAATTTTTCAAATGTTTTGCTTCATTCAAATATTTTTGTCCCTGTCATTTAAAATTCGATTAAAAGTGTCATTACATAATTAGTAGTAACTTCAGTATAGAAATATAATTGATAAATCTTAAAATTAAGATGAATTTCTAAAATGATCGAATTCATATTACTTTAACAGTAAAGAATAGATCAGACGTACTTGTACAATTAGAACAAAAGAAACGTTGTATTATTTTTTAGTGCTGGGAACAAAGGACAAATAAAACCACCATTTGAATCGGAGTATTTATTTAAGTGATCGTTTTATTTGATACACGACTAGATCAAATGTTAATGTAAATCAGCTATCGACTTCATGTATATTTACCCGGACGCAATCGCAGATTGATGTACTACTGAAGCATCAAAGTAACATTGCGGTTTGCTAGATGATATAGTAACCAAGAGTGTAGGCTTACCTGCCAAAAATGAATCTAATAATAGTAATCAGGAATGACCAATGAAAGATTATGTTTTAATGCTATTCAGCTTGATATTTGTAGTCATAATTATCCGTAAACTTCTAGATGTGAAGATATTGCCTCATCATTCTATATGAATTAGTGGATTACAAATTCTCTACAATCTATCTTGGTTGTAGCCAAATGTTTTTCCGGTCATCAAAAGATGAGTACACCATTCAGCAATCTGGTCTGTATTAGTTTATGCTTAAGAAATATCGTCTTACAAAATTCAAAAGCACTACAGTTCAACTGAAAATGTCTTGGAACGATGAAATCATAAAATGAGTAATGTTTAAATTAGTATTAGGAGACTAAATAGAATTAATAAAAAAGCTGATGAGATTTAGAGCATTCATCAGCTGAAACCACTGAGATGTGAACTACTCGTGATCAGACCTCGCTTATCTCCATATTCAATTGTTGTTAACAGTGGAAAGTCGATTAGTGGTGGGTAAAATATAACTCGATGTGAACTGATGAAGTCACTGCTTATTGAACTGGGCTGTTTAATAAATTATAAATTATCAGGTTGAAGTTCATAAGCGATAACTTTAGTCCAATTGCATAGCACATATTCACTCTCGATGGAACGACTTCACTAATTACTTTCCTTTCTCTAAAACCTAACTTTTTTATTATGCATTTTTAATTTCTCGGCAACATTCTTCCTTGCCGTACTATGTTTTTTACGATCAGTTTTCCTACTGTTATTAATAGTTCTATCATTGTCATCTTATCAATTTTATTAAACCTTAATGTTGTGAACTATAAAGACCCGATCTTATCTTCATTTGTGTCAGGTCCCATGCTGTTTAAAATCAAATGATTGAATGATTTTGAATATCAGTAAATTCAAAGTGAAATAATCTATAAACATAATCTACTTCAAAATCTTGACTATAAAAGCAGAAGATAAATGAAGAAAAGTATTTTTTTAATATGTCAAAAGTTTGTATACGAAATTTACAGAACAACTTGTATACAATGCCATATTTGTTGAAAGGAATGTAGTGTGTTGATCAGTTGATACGACTATCATACTGAAGGATTGTTTATAAAACTTTATAAAGTGAATAAGAATTTTTGTTAAAATTTTTCATTGACTTTATACAATTTGTTAAACATATCTAATGACAATTCAACGAATTTTGACTTCTTTTAAATTTTCCAAGGTGGATGCTTCTAATGGTGTCGAGTTCTCTAACCTATTTCTTCACGAAGTAGGCTCAGAAGATGTCCGGAATGACAATAAAAGCTTCTCATCCAACTTGAAGAGCTCAACATCACTGAATTAATAAATGTATTTTTTGATACGCCTGCTAATTAAACAAAAAGACCCGTCATTCAGTCGCAACGTAGAACCTGGTGCATATGTACAACGTTTCATCAGTACACAGATAAAATAGATTGTTAGGCCAAATCACAGAATAGAAGAGGTAGTAACAGTACCAGCGGTGATTACGTGTTGAACATACCATTCGGAAAAGAAATTTAAATTAGTGAAAGAAAAACAGAAGAGAACAGTTATGAATGACTCAGAAGCTCAGAATTTGAGGCAGGAAAACCATTAAACACCTGGAATCACTGAATGGCTATTTCGTCCTAGTATGAGTCTCTTCGGCAGTCTGTATTCATAAACTGCTAGGGTTGAAGCTATCACGAGTTCACTTAATCTGAGAACGAGGAAAAAGTCTCGGTGACCAAAGACCAGTAAGCTAGCTATTGATGAAGTCCAAGCTTGGAATGGGGAAGTATATTCTGCAAACAGCCAGAAAAGAGCGATAACAACAAACACAATTCAAAACGTATATATACAGTACAAAACCGCCCTTGGGGAGAGTTACCAAATAGCATACTAAAAGACTCAACGGACAAATAGCATTAAAGATATTTCCCGTTGGGAAATATGACATGTAAGGTGACATGAGCGCCCTTGGCGCGAAAACAAAGAAATTCAAATTTTCTAAATAAAATTATAAAATTGGATCCTTTCCCAAGTGAGTTCTGGGGATCTAACATCCCCAAAATAAACCTGGATGCGAAGATCAAACACAAGATTGATTGAAGTTACTCTTAAAAAATTAGATGTCAACTCAATGATCCAGAGGTTAATCGTTCGCAATCCAATATTTTATCTACGAGCTTGTTTTAGCATCATCGTTCCGAATCTGAGTTTGCTTAAATAATAATAAACTAATAGGTAAAGTATTCACATCAGATTTGTTTTATTTTTGTTTTATTTTTTGTAAGCTGGTTAGAGTTCATTAGGTCATTATTCGTTCCAATGAAAGCTAGTACGTGAAAAATACCTACATGGTATTTCAATAACAGCCTTGAAAAAAAGAAATTCAACTAATGTTTACTACAGTACATACCATATCAAGTTCATTTGTTAGTAAATTAAATTCATTTTGAGGAAATGGCCAGTTATTCTTTTCAAAAGTTTTCAATATATTCGCATAATCTTGATACCAACATAGTTTTGACCGCCATTTTGTATACTTATCAAGATTAACATCTTTACGCAGATTATTTAAAGAATCATTATCGATATATTCAAATATTATTTCAATTAGTTTTCTATAAGAGAAAAGAAAAAAATTCATCAAAAACCTAGAAAATAGTTGTAAATTTCGATTGAACAAAGAAACACTAGTATATACAAATGTTTCTAAAAATTCAGTATAAAAATTAAGTTTGGTTATTTTCCCACTTAGTTTTCTATTTTGCTAAAATGTCATTATTTAATAGTCGTTCATAGAATTATATTTACTGAAATTTTACTTTCTCATAAAGCTGGTTACAAGAAACTCATAAATAAGATTTTTAGAAAGTTTATTCTATTTTTCATAAAGCTGCATCGTAAATAACCACATTAACTTATATGAATGACAAATTATTAATGAATTCCCTGGAGTTCTAGTGAGAAGCCATGGACAACGGAGTTCAACTGTATCTGTTGTGAGGCAGTTACTCACTGAAGACAATGGTGGACGATCGCGCAATATCGTGTATTGGTTGAAGTTATACATTAACACTGTTTGACGCCGGTTCAGTGATCTGGAGGTTAGGCGTTCGTGCGCGAGCCTGAAGGTCCTGGGTTCGAGTCTGGTGTGCAGGATTGTGGATGCCCACTGCTGGGAAATCCCATACTAGGACGAAATGGCCGTCTTGTGCTTCCAGGTTTTCAATGGCGATCTAGCATGGATTCATTCCTGATATCAATTTAAACAATCTCCATAACCTTAAACTTGCATAAATAATGGTTGATTATAAAATATGAACTGCTTATACTTTAAAAAATTGTTACCAAAGATAAAACAATAAATTCCTTTCATTCTCTTGTATTGTATACATAAGTCATTTCTATCAAGGTTTAAAATGTATTAGTTATCAGGTTAAAGGAAATAATCCAATGACTTTAGTTGAGTTAATACATCACGAGGATGTCGTGTCTCTTTTGCAAGACTGCATGAATTCGTTGACTTAGGACACTATAACGTATAGATCACAACCCCAGTCGATGGAAACCATTAAATAAGCTTATTTTGTTTTCCGCCTAAATACTGGCAACCAATGCATTACGACTTGGATTCAATTTCAATTCCTCTCAATAGTTAATTTGTCTTAAAAATTAAGTCGCTTATTATGCAAATATATTTATGATTTACAATCAGATATTACGTTGTTAACGTTCCGTTAATATGTCATTTATAAGTGAGAATAGTTATGCAAAACCTAAGTAAACGTACATTCAAACAAATTTATTCATATTTTGGTACAAAAATGTATCTTTAATGAAAGATGAAACACTATCATACCATGCGCTTACTTCTCAATTAGGAATAATGCATTTCTTAGATCTTTTTCATATTGTTCAAAATTAATTGCCAATGGATTGAATAAATGAATCTCAGGGGATTTTGTAGATTTTTTTTTATTCACATATGCTATTGGTAGGGTTTGTTTTAATACTTCAGATACAACATGATGTCTTAATGCTGGTATATATGTTGGACGTAAGCGAACTGTGAATGGTTTTAAGAGATCAGTTAAACGAAGCTTTTTTGCAGTTAGACCATGATTAGATAACCAGTTAGGAATTGTATAACTAAAAAAAAATATAATCAAGCATTCAGCCTTGTGAAATTTCAAGATTTCCAACTATTTAGTTCAAATGGTGGATTTTGATGACACTGTATAGCTAGACAAACATTAGAAGTCAGCTAGTTCTTCATAGATGTTTTGTTCTTATTTGGAAATTTGTAGTAGATACTTACGAACCCGTACACAGAATATAGATTATGACTCATAATTTGATACGGGTATGATGCTTTAAATCAATTAAGTCAAAATTTATTTAGCCAAATTTTCAACTTCAGTTGATTTGTGATACTAAACAACTATTATTGACTTATCAGTGAACGTTCATATCTTACCCTTAACATGGTTGAACACCATGAGTAACAGATTCTCACTAGAACATTAAGAATCTATTTCAATCCTAATCAATATTTATAGCAGACTGTGGTGAACATCACCACCAGATATAACATTTTTACTGAAAACGATCAGCCATACTGTTTGTTGAATAACAATATGCTTAATTATTGATTGTAATTTGATCCTCCTCATTCATCATAACCGACAGATTACAATTAACCTTAACATCGTAGTATTCAAACTATCAATAAATAAATGAGATACACGAATATTACTCATTTTTAGTTGTCACTTTATTGATGTATGTTATAATACCAAAAAGTCAATTTGTTTAAAATACATAAATTCTTTTCTGTTTTTTATTCGAAAACTTTGAATAATGAAATGAAATATCGATGAAAAGTGGTAACTGTCGTTGAATTTTATAATATCTGTTGCCATCTCTTATAGTGCTAATGCAATAATCGTCTGAATTTTCATTACTGCCATTATATATTTAAATTGATTAGATGGTCAGTCAGTTTGACATTTAATTTCGTTCTGCATTTGTCATACAGATAACTTCAAAAAAAATTAACAAGACATTTTTATTACTCATTTAAGATATTATAAGATGTGTTGAGTCGCCTTCCGAGAAATACAACGGAGCCTGCAGAGGCCCTAAAGGAGCCGAAGAGTTCCAGCCAATCAGAACATGATGGAGCTTTCTAGAATATCAACGTGACACGCTACTATTGGTCAGTAGCATGATTGGCCAAAATGTAATGTTGATTTAACAAATGTTAATATCTTTAAATACCCATGATTTTCTGTACACTTTGATTCTTACCAAATAAACACTTCTCCAGCTTTCCTTCTGTCTTCTGATTTGCGACGGTGAAGTCCAACGTTCGAGTGTCGTAGCCGTAAACTGTATTCTGCATTATCAAGTAGCGAACTTAACAAGATGTTTGAATCAGCCATTATGTACTTCGTTTTTTTCGTTCCGAAAGATAATGGACAATCATTGTCGACTGTCGATCTCATAACGATGCGAATTTATTGATAAAGCCTTTTCAATACAATGACAGAGTCTATTCAGTCAGTTCATAATATAGCAGCAATACGACTCAGTTTAGTCAAGGTTTCCGTTCAGATATCCTGTATATTCCGTTGAGTATAAGACCGTTGTTAATTTTTTCATATTAATTCACAGGCTTTAACTTTATCAAAGCCAATAATGTGGAAAATAGTAAAAATATACTTACATTATGTCTGACCCCTCACTTGGACTGACTTTCTGCTTTGTTTTATCGAGAAGGATTTCGTCTGTTACATTGTTGCGTGGAAAAAGCGTTAGGAAAAAATATATGTTTAAAGATACTTATTTTTGAAATATAATAATAATAATATTAATAATAGAAGCTAGCTACCATATTTTCAGCCTCAAGGAAGGGAATAGAGGAAATTTTGAGGAAGGTGGGTAAATAGGACCCTGAATGGATCGGCTCAAAGTTAGCAGTGCTCGTCAGGAGTATAACTGGTCAAGTCTGGGACACTCAGTTATAGAAGAAATAATAAACGCAAAACAAACAAAACAAGAAAAGTATAACAAAAGTTCATGTATTTGCTCAAACTCTGTAGACGAATTTTTTATCTGCATAGACAATTATTAGTGAAATTACCTTTTGTTACTTAATACTAATCAAAATGTTTTATCTGTGGGTTAACTCTCAAAAAGACTAAAAGAAAAAAATTTGGTCTTCAAAATAAAATGTTCATAAAATAGCCAATATTGAATAAATTAAACTTATTAAATAAACACTAATTAGTGAGATTAATTCAACTATGTATTCAAGAGTGATATTTTAAATTCACTGTTGTTTACCTGTTATAGCCTTATTGAACCGCTGACTTTGTCTTTCTAGTAATTGTCTAGTTTCATACAGTAGAAAATCTTTCTCATCCAAAGACGTTTTATATAAATTTTGTAAATTTGGATAATAAGTATCTGTTAGGATATAAAAGACATTTGTAAGTATCTTTGTAGATGCGTCAAAATCACAGATCAATAATACTTATCCGTAAATCATATTTTCATGACTACTTCTAGTTATTATTAAGTCCTAATAATTGTATAAATCCCAAACGCTGATATAACTATTGAATAAATTTATACAGAATCATCTTTTTCAAGCATTGTTGGATTAACATGTAAAGCAGTTGTTATGTGAATGAAGAAACTTAAATAAGGGAAAAAATAGTGATATTTTGTTTGAACTTCTTAGTATTTTTAAAAAATGTGACTCACTGAACTAGAAGATACAAAAAGCTTCACAGTAATTTATCACAGACATTTTGTTTGAGAGGTTTTTTCATAACTCATGTAGTTATTTAGAGTAATAATAATATAATAATGAAATAATAACCTAGTAACTGGAGGCCATCATTGAATAGTCCTGAATATTTATTTAATTTTCACTGTTCCTCATCCATAAAGAGCACCTGAAATGTAAAGAGAACTTATATGACTTCTGAAACTCAACACCATACCATTCAATATCACATTCACACTTCTTGATACTCTATCATTTGAATGGTAAACGAAGAAACGTAACAATGATTGACACGTCAAAGATGATGACTGAACAGTATTCTGATAGCTTGTAGAAATGCAGTTGTTGATTAGAGCGAGAGGAATCTAATGAAAGTAGTCAATTTATTCGAGTAATTTATTTATCTGTATTAACTATCAGATTTTAAGCATCAATCTACATCGGAAAAATTTCGAACTTATAAACAACTCCTGAAGTCCAATTAAAAAAAACACGAAGTACAATTTCTTATTTCCTTTGTCCAAAAATATAATAACATACATCTTGTATCAATCAGTAATAAAATGAAAAGTGGTGTTACAACGACAACAACAGTTAATCTGGTACTTAACATTCGTCAAAATGACACTTTCAAAAGTTAAAATCAAACATCCTAGTGTAATGTAAAACATTCTTAAGATGCATGAATGAATGATTCCTGAGTACAGACATTGAAACCGATTCTTCAAATTTTATTGTCTACCTTGATCTAATTACTGATATCATGAATTCTAAAATGTTCACATTACAAATAATGAAAAAAAAAAGAAAATTTCCGATTTACCATTGAACATTTTCTCAATAGATTTCTTTTTTACTGTTGACTTTTTTTGCTTAACTATATTCGAATGATTAGTTAAAACTGTTGGATAGCGTACAAATTCAGCTGGATTATTGGTGATGGTAGAAATAATAGAGGTAGTTGTAGTATTCCATTTAGATTGTTTCTGTTTTTCTGAACAAACTGAATCTATTTCAGAACTTATCGTATCTGTTGAATTATTAATAGCTTGTGATTTATTTGATAAGATGTATTGATTTTTTTCAGTTAATTTTAATTGTTTATTTTTATTTTTTGAATGAATTAATGTGGCTTTTTCATTATTCGCTTTCATACGTAATAAATAACATTCATCTTTTAATTGAGCTAATTTTTCTAAATTATCTAAACCAAGCTGATATTCATTTTCTAATAATCTAACATCTTCACTCTGAAATGATATAATTGAATTCATTAACGTATTGAGTAGGTTGAAGTGTTAATAAAATATATTGAAACGAAATTTGGCAGTTAATAATATATAAAGAAAAGAAATTGATTTCACGTTGATTTTTCTATCATTCTATTTGTTTATTTCAATTGTATCAACCTCATTTGATTTATATTGCCTTTTATTTTCTTTCTTGATGGTGTAACTCATATTCTGTTAGGTACATGTGATTTATAATCATATAATTAGTGTAAAACAAGTAAGTTGAAACTGTTCTTCAATTGTAGGCTTTAACATTAGTTCGTCCAATTCGATTCAGTTGACCAGACAATATTGATATTTGCTATGAAAAGCATAAACCTTGTAGTCAGGTTTATATTACCCTATACTTAGTTACTAAGTATTTCGTGTTATAAAAAGTTTCTGTTACATTTTTTTATGTGGCAATCCTTCAGAAACTTGACAAAATCATTTCGCCTAAAAAGTGTGGATGAATGTTGACTCAAAAGAAGAAATTATTACTTTCTTTGAAATTGAATATCTTACACACATATATTTTTTATAAGAATGTACTACTTAAAAAGGTCGCAATTCATAAAACAGTTAAAATTATTTACAAATTGGATTTTGTAAAATATGTGTATAGTGTCGTTTACAGTTACGAATATCTGAATAGAATTTCTAATTGTGATAAGGTATTTCATGAAATCTAACTAAAATGAGCTTACAGTGAAGATCCAGTATAATAATTCATTATTTCAATATGATCAGGAAGAAAAATACTGCCTAACTGATCTAATTGTTTCAAGTATAAAATATAGTTACATAGGTTATGTCATTCTACTCATTCTGATAGGAATATCATCTATCGTACGGTTATTTTTTAATTTTTTTATTAAAATAAAATTCAAATGTAAAAATACAAATTTTGATATCTAACCAAAACAGTCTATGGCACTTTGATTTTAAAACTAATAAAATTAGAAATATGCGCAGCAGCCAATAAACAAATTATTACAGGCAACAAAATATTTGTTCTTGAACACATGAGTACACATTTTCAAAACAAGTGAACCAATCACTTTTAAAATTTTCTAATCATGCCCAAAACATTTTCATCAATAGGGGTCAGGAAACACAATAACTGTGCAATAAATGTCGACTATTATGACCAGTGATACGTATTTGTAATCAATATCAGCAATGTTTGGTGTTTATTTTCAAAAGTTTATCGACTTAAATGTTTGAACACTGTTGACATTGATTACAAACACGTAGCACTATTCAAAACAATGATCTCATCATCTGATAGTTGACTCTCTGATTCGTGGTGATAGCTTTATCTAACTAATTCATTTCGTTATAATTTTCACATGGATTGAAAAGTACACAAATAATCTTTGTAGCCTTCCTTCGAGGTACTGACAAACTAAACCAATTCAACACAGCTCTCAACAACAGGTTACAAGCCTTAAAGGGTCTATTCAAAGAAGAGCAAAATACTATGAAGGACAACTGGAAACGGATCAAAGAACCACTATCTTCAACGTGTCAGGAGGTGCCAGGCCATAAGAAGCATCATCATAAAGAATGGATCTCCATGGAAACCCCGCACATGATTCAAGAAAGGAAGAACAAGAAGACAACAATTAACAACAGCCAAACAAGAACAGAGAAAGTCAATGCACAAGCTCAATATACAGAAGCAAACAAGAGAGTGAAGAGGAGCATTAGAGCAGACGAGCAGAAATATGTGGGAGACCTAACAACGACAGAGGAAAAAATTGCAATAGAAGAAAATATGAGACAGCTATATCACACAAAGAAGAAACTGACGGGGAATTTTATCAAACCAGAAACACCAGTCAAGAACAAAGAAGGCAGATCAAGCACTGAGAATCAAGAACAGCAGGATAGTTGGGTAGAACAATTGGAAGAACCCTTGAATAGACCAGACCCACCAGATTTCAAAGCAGCACCTACAGACCTACCTATAGGCGTCACTCCACCAACGACAGAATAAATCAGGATGGCCAACAAACAAATCTAGAGTGCGATAGGACATACATTACGGAAATCATCAGATTTCGTCACAAGGCACGCCGTAACTTGGAATCTTGAAGGGAAACGGAAAAGAGGAGGGCTGAAGGACACTGCGTCGGGAACTGGAAGCAGAAATCAGACAGATAAGAAGAAACTTGAAACAACTGGAGAGAATCGCACAGGACAGAGTTATATGGTGAATGCTTGTGTGTGGCCTATGCTCCTCCATGAGGGGTAACAGGCGTGAGTATGTAAGCAAGCAATAGTCAGTTCATAATGAATTATCATTCGAAAGATCACATGATGTAAACACGTATACTTAATTACTTTACCACTGAATGGAGGAAACTTACGGTTTTTAGTAGTAAAATAAAACGTGAAATTAGATTGTTAGCGGGACATAGACTAGATTAAAGCATGCTCAATCCATGATTGCTTTGGTGCACGCTGATTGGCTAATTCTTATCCAATCAGCACTAGTCGATAGTTGGAGAATACTCTGGAATCTTCTTATGTAAAAACTATAAATATACTGACGTTTTCCCTATTGTGTTTCTGACTTGCTTCTTGCTTCCATCTGACCTTGTTATTTGGAATATAATCTCCTTCCTGTTCAACCGTGTTCTGATTTGGGGACTTGTCGAGTGAATCGGTGTCCGAGAATACTAAGCAATAGGAATAGCTGGGTCATAACCGTAAGAAGAGAGATTATAACATAGATACAATTATTTTTTAAGTTATTATGACACATACATCAATTTCGAATTTTTTATGACGCGTCCATATTGGTCAATTATTTAATACATCATGAGGCTCATAATTAAGCATGACAACACTTCGAACTAGCAATTAAGATTTTCACAATTATTATAGTATATAATAGGCGTTATTAATATTGGTTAATCAATTAACTGACAAACATCATTCATACCTCCCATTGTTTTGGTTTATTTATATTATTTGGAAATTCATTATAATAATGAAAACGTCCACCACTTTCTTGAGCTAGTCGAATCAGAAATTCGTTTGCTTCAGGATCATTACAGTTAAAACTGATTGTGTGTATAGGTACACGATTATTCAATTGCATACTAAGTAGAAGAGTATGCGTTTGTTGATCTGGTCGACCATCTGTTAATAAATAAATTCCTTCAGTTAAATTATCTTCCAAAGCGAATTGAAGTGCTTTTAATGTATTTGTCGTACCACCACATGTTAATTTTTCAATCCATTTTATAGCAGACTGATTTGGATTAAAGAAACGACAATATAAAATGCAACAGTAGAATGACAGATTAATGGGAGAAAAAGAAAAAAACAATATGCATACCGGAAAATGAATCAGATTACGGGACGAATAAAAGACCATTTATAGTTAAACGTTCGATTTGAAGGATCTTAAAAGGAAATAAGAATAAAATTAATCGTGACATACTATAGCACCTTACCCACATTTAAGTCTGTTTGCGTTTGGTTTTGTTAAGCCCTTCAATTAACTTACCTAACAGACAGTGTCATTCGAACAATAATATTCGGTGTATCTTTGTATTATTATTATCTCTGCATACTCAACTATATGTTATAACCTACACATATCTCTTTTACTGTCTAAACTATTAATTGGTTAAATCGCTTTCCTATATACGTGCTTGAATCTTATAAATTCATACGACCCTCAATTTGCCTCTGGATTTCCTTACTGAAATTTATATACTATTGGGATATATTTAGGAACGGTTATCAGACCGGTTGATATATGAAGCTTTGAAAATTATCTAGGAAATAATCCACTATAATAGAATCCGCTTGCGGACGATATGTTATTGAAAAGAAATTACATCAAGAAAAATTGAAACCAACTAAAATAAAATACGGTTTATGAAACGTAAGTGATTATTGCTACTCAAAAGTTAGCTCAAATCAACAGAACTCTGAATATATTAGTCAAAGATAGGAGATCAATGAACAAAATCAATCGTAAAATGACTTCAGTGAATTAAATATCATATACTCTCTCGATTTCAAATCGACGAGAGACTGTTCATCCGAGATATCATTTTAGGATAAATTTTGTCGGGTCAGAAACTCTAACACAAACGTCCTCTAAAAGCTTCTGTAAGTAACTGAAATATATTTGGAAATTGTTTGATCGCTACATCAAATTTTAACTTAGTATTTGGTGAATACCAAACAAATTCAGTTAATGAACAATTAAATAATAGCATATTTTGTATTACAGCTCTTTACATTTTCTTGGGATTGTAACTGGTTAAAGGTACCAAATAGCGAGTAATCAACAGAAAAAACCGACTGTCAGATCAAATCCAATGTTCTTGTCTGATGGGTTTTATAACAGTGTTTTTAAAATATTTGAAATTAGTCACGCAGACAAGCAGATAAAAGTAGTCTTACTGAAGCCATCTATATCTAAATTATGTTTATATATTTAAAGACTGTAGTTCTGTAATCAAACAAACTGAAATATTGTGTACATTAATTTAAATGATAACTCGTTACCATCGAGTAACAACAAGTTGATAAACGTTAATTTTGGCAACGAAGAATGAAATGAATAAAATCAAACAATAAAATTTCATAAACATAAAGAATAACTAATCCATACTAATCAAATAGGCAGTTACGTTGACAATGATCTAATGAAATCAGATAGAAATTGTGTTTCCAGATTATCTGAAAAAAAGTTGAAATCACTGCAAAACTTACATCGTGAAAAATACAAAAAAATTATTCTGTCTGTCTTTGAGGAAAAATGACTCTCCTTAAAACTTTATTAGAAGTTTTCTCTTATGATGTAGATCCTTTTATCAAGTGGATAGGGAAATTACGAGATCCAGCAATTCGTCTAACCAGTATATTGAAGGATATTAATAAAATCAGCAGAAGAGGTTCAGAATCATGTTGATGATATATTTAAAAATATGGGTTTCAAACTACATTTCTTTTGATTATAGAACTCTAATTGGTCATGTGATCAGTAATCTACTGTCGATTTTAAACCACGACTGACTTTTAGTTGATAGAATAAAATAAATATGAAACAGTTCAAAACAGTATATATTAAAACAACACGAAAAGTAAATTCAAATGTAGAACAGAAAGAGATTATTGAAACGGAAAGCAATAAAAAACTAGAAATATTTTGACATAAACTATAACTATTAAAATGTTCAGAATCTAAGCGAAAACCGTATGTCAAAACGATCATTAAATTTTGTTGAATATCTACATATAAATCTTTAATTTATATAAACTGTTTACTAAAATGGAATAATGAATACCAGGACAAACTTTACATCCTACATGGGACTAATTAGCTATTCACATTGTGACTAGAACAAAAGTACCTTTTGCTCCAAACGCTAAAGCTTTGTTCATTGAGCTACTAAGTTCAGACAGATTTATTAGCTTGTTCAATGAGTATGAATATCATTTGTAAAGGTCTGCATTTTTCATTTATCTATGTTATAATCTATAAATGAAGCCAATATAGACTGGTCACTTACAGACTGTAACATCAACAAAGTTGAAATACGAACCTTTACAAATAATGTTTTTTTATTATTTCACATTAAAATATAAAAACTAAATGAAGCCTACCTTTAAATTACATTCAGTTGTACTTTGTAAATGATTATGCCATGCATTAACATTTGAATTGAATGAGATAAAATTAAGACGATTTTTATATTTCAACTGTTCATAAATTAATTGTAACAATTTTTCTTTAACAAATTTTATACAAGATAACATTGATGTACTGGTATCAATTAAAATATATACCTAATTTATAATAATAAAAAATACAAAAAAATGAATTAATAATTGTTGTTAATGGCATCATACTATCAAATTTAGAAGAATAGTAGACTTGCATTTTTATTTATGACAAGTTTTGTCAACAAATTTCTATGATTTGTATGAAAAGGAATTTCCATCATTGATATTAGTTCAGTTATCAATTAGTCGGTCATAAATAATTTAGAGCCTGTTTCATTTATACTTCAGCTCAAGATGTCACATTAGTACACAAGCATGAAGACAATAACAAATATATTTGAGGAATAAAGTGTATGAAATAATATGAAATCTTGGAATTTGGTATGAAATAAAGTGAGAGAGTGATCGATTTTCAGTCTTGTTTTCAACCGTTGATATCAATTATCCCTCGTACTCTAGCAAAATAGTTTCCATCGCCTAAAATGGTTCAGACTAAAACTCAATCACTTCGTTAAACGATGCCATGAGTTGATTTGACCGTTTCCATCTTTGTTTAAACCTACTTCAGCCAGCAATGCGCATTGACGTAGACAACATTTAGATATAAATTCATTGTGAATGGTAAAATACCTACTTTCCAGGCCTGATATTACAATTTATCTCATATAAGTTGAACAATTTATTTGCAACCAACAATAGTCTTGCTATTTCAATTTTACGCCTATCAACTCTAACCAACAAGGTTACTTACTTACGGCTGTTACCCTTCATGAAGGAGCACAAGTCACTCACCAACACTCTCCATTCAAATATGTCTTGTGCAATCCTTTCCAGTTCTTCCCACTTGCTATTCATCATTTTCATATCTGATTCCAACTCCCAACGCAGTGTGTTCTTCGGCCCTCCACTTTTCCGTTTCACTTCAAGATTCCAAGTTGGGGCTTGCCTCGTGATGCCTATTCACTTCCAACGTCTTTTCCTAATTTCCTCTTCAACTGGAAGTTGGTTTGTTCTCTCCCATGGTTGGTTGTTGCACATGGTATCCGGCCAACAGATATTGAGAATCTTGCGTAGACAATTGTTTACTTCTTTGATGATTGTTGTAGTAGTTCTCTTATCTCCAGCTCCGTACAGTAGAACTGTCTTGACGTTAGTAATGAATACTGTGATTTTGATGATCGCTCACAGTTGTTTCGAGTTTCATATGTTCTTCAATTTTGGGGATGCTGTTTTGCTTTACTAATCCTCGCCTTTACATCTGTATCGCATCCTCCCTGCTTATCAACGATGCTACCCAGGTACGTGAAAGTTTCCACATCACCAACAAGACGTATCAGTAAATGAGAATGTAGCTTTGATATTACTGAGACAATAAAAGCTGCTTATCAGTATGAAGTTTATATAATTCAAGGAATTAAGATTTATTATACAACAAATTACAAAATAATATTGATAATATGTTGAATTAAATGTAAATGCACATCAGTTCATGTAACTGGTTTAACAACAATACGAGCTTACATTATCTTCTGTTATGGTTCCAAATAATTCCCTTGAACCTTGTCTTAATAGATCTAAACGATGTTTAATAGCATTTAATCTAGAATGCATACGTCGAGAGTATGAACGATACATTTCAGGTGTAATTTGCACATGAACTATATTACCGTTTTTCCATCGAACATGTACAAAATTGCTACAATATTGAGCATTGATCAACTTTGGTTGAATAATCTTCAAAATGCGCATAAGTTTTGTAAAGTATAAGGAAAAACAATGAATAATTTACTATATTGAAAAATTATGGTATTTAGCCACATAAGGCATTTTTAATAAAATGGTAACTAATGTTATGAGAGAATTATTTGTACTGATCAGTGTCTAGCGATACAACTATCACGTTAAGTAACTCGGTGTTATAATACGCCATGACTGTGATTATATGAACAATAAAAATCATTTGTAAGGTTCATATTAACAAATGATGAATATTAAGAAAGCCGAACATAAATTCATTGTTTTTGACCCGAATATTAGTATCATCAAAGTAAAAAAGGCCCTGTCGATAGAATTTGTAACAAATTAGTGGGCATATAATGTACGAACACAAATCTACCGGCATCATCGCAACTACCTCCAACTGTCTAACAGCTCTTTATTTAATCATGATTCTTTAAACTTGAGGCCATTCTACACCATCTCTTCTTCGACTTCATTAGTTTTTTTCCGATTTTTTTCCCCACATTATTATGACTTATTCTCTCTCTGTCTAGATATTTAATCTGTAGCAACTTGAGCTAATACACATTTGTGTCAGATTTTAAGTCGTTTGAAAACATCTTTCTGTCAGCCAAAATAAATCGTAATTAAGTATCACAAAATAAGGTTATGATGCAGTGTTAATAATAAAATTAATAAGATTATTGGAACATTGAGAATCATAGCTCACTTGTTAGAATGTAAGGATATATTACTTTAAACCTAACACTTAGTCAATTAATCATAGAAACCTATTTTTTAACGCAGAATTCAAGAATGGCATATTAATTTTATTCGTAACATATGTACAGTATACTGCACATAATTTAAACCGTGTAATAATAATCGTTATTAGCATTTACGATGGATGATAAATAATATCAATACGAGGAACCACATTTTACCATACGAGTGGTACATTACATGAGGTAATGAAATAATTGTATGTGACTAAAACTGTGACTAAAATTAATTCATTAACAATAGGTTATATTATTATGACGTACTGCACTTGAAGACCATATTTGTGAAGAATCATTTGAATTTGGTTCCGAATGATTGGATTTTCCAAAATCATCATAAATCTTATTGCATTCTCTTTCCATTGCATCATTGTTACTAACATTTAATGGGGGCTTCAAAACATTTACAACTCCATCACAGTGTTTAAATGAAACACTAACTAATAAATCATAGAAATCCAAATGTTGAGCTTTTAAACCATAAATACTTAACCATTCTTTTGATGACATATACTCTTCACGTTTCCAGCCAAATTCACAACTACTTGTTATAGGTGCAGGTTGACTACACTCAGAATTAGAGTCTGAAAAATGACAATATAAAATAAAATAGATCTTTATAATTAAAAATTGCAATCACTGCCATTCATATTGATCAAATAGTCGATTACTTGTTGATGATAATGTGAGACTGAAACTGTTATGTTCAAAGTTACAAATTGGTGGGTTAAAGTAATTTTATTAGCTTTAGACTTATCTTCTTTAAATTATAGCACATATTTAAGTTACAGGATATTTAAAAAGTGTTAGGAAGATGAAGTTAGGGGGTAAGTTTGGAATGGTTAGTGTGTACTCACGTAAACAATAGTCTTGTGTAAATGGAGCTATTCAACTAACTATTCAAATAAACTGTGTCTGAACAAATATGATCTAAAAGTGATTGGTCAGTTATGCATTTCAGTTATTTCTATCTCTATATTTGAACCTATACGAAAACTCATCATTTTGAGTTACCACAACTAACACAACAACAAAGTAGAAGAAAGTCTAGCAATAGAAAAGTGAACTAGAATAACATTGATTAGAATATAATTAACACATTCCTAGGAACCTACAGCTGAAAGGAAGTAAAGCCTTCACAGGTCAAGAGAATTCGGAATACTGAATATGGAATGAATGTAAGCAATGGATTTAAACTAATTCATAGATAAAAACACCAATCTTACTCCATTATGTAGAGGCAACGCCATCAGAAGTTTCCAACTTGACATGTGCATACAGAAGGCAAGTGTAATGAACTTTTCTCTAATATGTTGATTTTATGTTGAACAAATAACTTTAATTACATCCAGATGACAAACTCTAAATAGGGCGAAACGCGAGTCCTAGATTCCACTGCTAGCCTCCACCCATCTTTGCTTATAATGCTTGTGACTTAACAGGAATGTAGACGCAATTCGCATAGGTTTCACATATGCCAAAAGGAGACTGACTAATTGCTGTCCTAAACATAAATGGGGAGGTACAAACAACCAATACAAGTACAAACCATTGATTTTTTTAAACCCTCTTACCCCTGTTTTTCGTCTTCTGACATTTGTCTCTTTCATAATCTTATTGATGTTCACATATTTGCTCGGTCTATCATATTGAGTGATTACTTGATCTCTTATTAATTTTGTTTCTCTTACACAACTTCGTATATCATGATTGTGGCTACTGGTAGCCTGTTGTAATCCACATTGTTACTTTCTAACATATAAGTACACGTCGGTCTTAATTATGCTTGTTCATACAGTTTGTTACCCTATTCTTCTTATTATTATGATTTCGGATACATTTCGAATATTTATCTAAACTTCACAAACTAATGATTTGTAAATAATAATGTCCATAATTATAATTTCAGGTTGCACACAGCCGATGAAAAACCATGAAATAGAATGAATTCATTTTATACTGCAAACCTTGTTCTTGCTTTTTTAAATAAAATGAACATATTCAAGTAAAAATAGAGAAAATCATTTCCTTTGTGATGAATTCATTCACCAATGTAGTATAGTAGTTACAGTATTTGTAGTTATTCAAAATCTATTAGTCCGTTGAAAAACACAGAGATATGGTGTCATGATATGTTTGAAAACTCAAAATACCAAGAGGTTATGTAATGATCCAACGGTTAGTCGAAAGTAGTAAACTGGACATAGCCCTAATGTAATTGTCTTGCTAGATGTATAATTAAAACAGATATATAAGCGATCGATATTATTTCCAGTATAAATTATTCCTAGGCTCTATAGTTATAAATTAAAGGTCGAAGTGAATGGCCTAGTTTGGGATAAGTACACACTTAAAAATAATAGCCTACGAATTTAAAACTGTTTGATGGACATTAGATCACTGTACTACGTTCACTACATTTATAACAAGATTTTTTAAATTATTGATTTGCAACAACTTGCAAACCATATTTTGGAGTATGAGTCAACGTAAGAATAAGACCAGTCGTCAATGGCCTCATAAACAGGGTGTCACGTGTTAAACCAATCACTTTTATTCAGTATTTTAACCAGTTGTTACTTTGAATAATATAGTAAAGATTAGAGAATAAAGTAAGTATGTAATATATGATATAGTCACTTTAAATGGTTGAAGTTTGCAACCCTACCTTCTGATCTAGCGACTTTCCAAACATTTAAAACTGAAACCAGAATATTGTTTGACCGATATTCCCATCAACTCCGCCTGTAGCTCTTCTGCAATTACTACTGGTTCAAAGCCCGAGTAAAGGAGAAATGGGCATGGGGTCAGCAACCCCATCCCGTAGAAAAATATCTTGCTATAATCGCCAACCAAGATAAACAAATTAAATCATTTAAACTCTGCCCTGGGAATTGAAGGAAGAATTATGACGCCTCACGTTGAAAGCCGAGATTCTTCGGAAGTCATGAGGCTGATGTCCCATTTAACAACAACAATCAATGTAGCTACATGGAATGTACGAACAATGTGGGAGACCGGGAGGAACAATCAAATAGCTACGAAAATAAGGAAATAAAACATGGTGGTGCTCGGAATGGACGAAAACCATTAGACCCTAGCTGGAAGGCAAAGGTTAAGTACGGGAGAGATGCTGCTGTACTCCAGTCACAAAGAGGAAAATAATCCGCACACTCAGGGAGTTGCTGTATTGCTGTTCAAAGAAGCATGCACCTATAGGATGGGAATATTACGGATCTAGAATCATCAAAGCATCATTCAAAACAAAGAAGGAGGGAATCACAATGCATGTTATCCAATGTTATGCACTCACCAACGACGACAATGAGGACCAGCTACACAAGAGGCTGCAATCAATCATAGCGAAGTGCCCACGATAGGATCTCACCATCCTGGTGATATACCTAAACGCCAAAGTCGGGATGGACAACACTGGATATGCAGATGTCGTGAGATGACATGGACTGGGAGAGAGAAGCGAAAATAGAAAGAGATATGCAGACCTGTGCGCATTCAACAAATTGGTTATAGGTGGCACAATATTCCTACACAAACGCACGCACAAGGATACATGGGTACCATCAAACCACACTACAGAGAACCAGGTCGATCGTATATGCATTACTAGAAAAGTCGGCTTCAGATCACAACCTCGTTGCGGCCAAGATGAAACTGAAGCTGAAGAAACACTGAACTGCTAGGGAAACAGCATTACAAAGATTACATACAGACTTCCTTCGACATACTGACAAACTAAACCAATTCAACACAGCTCTCAACAACAGGTTACAAGCCTTAAAGGGTCTATTCAAAGAAGAGCAAAATACTATGAAGGACAACTGGAAACGGATCAAAGAACCACTATCTTCAACGTGTCAGGAGGTGCCAGGCCATAAGAAGCATCATCATAAAGAATGGATCTCCATGGAAACCCCGCACATGATTCAAGAAAGGAAGAACAAGAAGACAACAATTAACAACAGCCAAACAAGAACAGAGAAAGTCAATGCACAAGCTCAATATACAGAAGCAAACAAGAGAGTGAAGAGGAGCATTAGAGCAGACGAGCAGAAATATGTGGGAGACCTAACAACGACAGAGGAAAAAATTGCAATAGAAGAAAATATGAGACAGCTATATCACACAAAGAAGAAACTGACGGGGAATTTTGTCAAACCAGAAACACCAGTCAAGAACAAAGAAGGCAGATCAAGCACTGAGAATCAAGAACAGCAGGATAGTTGGGTAGAACAATTGGAAGAACCCTTGAATGGACCAGCTTTACTGAGTCCACCGGATATCAAAGTAGTACCTACAGACCTTCCAAAAGATGTCACTCCACCAAAGATAGAATAAATCAGGATGGTCATCGGACAAATCAAGAGCAGGAAAGTGGCAGGACCTGACAATATACCAGCCAAAACACTGAAGTCAGACATCGAAGTAACTACAAGTATGCTTCACGTTCTGTTCGGGAAGATTTGGGAGGAAGAACAAGTGCCGACAGACTGGAAAGGATGACACCTCATCAAAATAACAAAGAAGATCTGAGCAAATGCAAGAACTACAGAGGCATCACACTGCTGTCAGTACCAGGGAAATTTTTCAACAGTGTTACCGAGCTGGTCGAAAGACTCAGTAGACACCCAACTTCGAGATCAACAGGCTTGATTTCGTAAGGACCCGTCGTGCACAGACCAAATTGCGACACTACAGATCATCGGTGAACAATCAGTTGAATGGGACTCGTCACTATACAGCCACTTTATTGACTATGAGAAGTCGTTTGACAGTGTGAATAGGAGAAACTTATGAAAACGTGTTCGACAATATGGTGTACCTAAGAAGATCATCAACATTGACCGGACTTCATACAACCGACTATAGTGCAAAGTCGAGAGTGGGGGACAGTTGGCACATCCATTACAAGTAAGGACCGGAGTTAGACAAGGCTGCCTACTCTCTCCCTTTGTTTTTCTTCTGGTGGTCGACTGGATTATGAAGACCTTGACATCTAAGGAGTAACACGGAATATAATGGACAGCTCAAAATCAATTAGAAGATCTGGACTTCGCAGATGACCTGGCCCTTCCATCCCATACACACGAACGATTGCCTCTGCATCAGCAGGCCTCAACATACACAAAGGAAAAAGCATGATAGTCAAGTACTACACGAAGAACACCAACCTAGTCACACATGATGGGGAAGCTCTGGAAATTGCGGAATCTTTCACGTACCTGGGTAGCATCGTTGATAAGCAGGGAGGATGCGATACAGATGTAAAGGCGAGGATTAGTAAAGCAAAACAGCATCCCCAAAATTGAAGAACATATGAAACTCGAAACAACTGTGAGCGATCATCAAAATCACAGTATTCATTACTAACGTCAAGACAGTTCTACTGTACGGAGCTGGAGATAAGAGAACTACTACAACAATCATCAAAGAAGTAAACAATTGTCTACGCAAGATTCTCAATATCTGTTGGCCGGATACCATGTGCAACAACCAACCATGGGAGAGAACAAACCAACTTCCAGTTGAAGAGGAAATTAGGAAAAGACGTTGGAAGTGAATAGGCATCACGAGGCAAGCCCCAACTTGGAATCTTGAAGTGAAACGGAAAAGTGGAGGGCCGAAGAACACACTGCGTTGGGAGTTGGAATCAGATATGAAAATGATGAATAGCAAGTGGGAAGAACTGGAAAGGATTGCACAAGACATATTTGAATGGAGAGTGTTGGTGAGTGACTTGTGCTCCTTCATGAAGGGTAACAGGCATAATTATATGAGTAAGATATTCCCATCACACGTGAGTATTTTCTGAAAACACGGTGAAGACGTTAGTATTACATTCTTGTTACGTTCGCTTTCAAAGCAGATATTCTATAGCACAGATTGGTGTTTAAAAAAATCAAGACTCTTTTTCACTTTATTTCGATTCTATTATTACTAGTGCTTTTAACTGAATGTTTCTAAAATGACAACATATTTAACAATCATGAAGTTTAGACACTATTTAACCAAACGTAGTCCGTTTTGTGGTCAATACTGATTAACTAATTTGAAGCTAAACCTAAGTATTATTATTATTATTATTATTATTATTATTATTAATGGCTTTATTCAATATTATATTTTGGTACAATATAGAATTCTCAGCACAGGGTATTTCAACAAGTTACTTACTGAACAACGAACAAAAAAGACAGTAGCGAATATATAAAGAAATATATAAAATAAAAATTTAAAAAAAAACCAAAAGAAACTACAAACTTTTAAAATTAAAGACATGTTAAGAATGTAAGTTATTGACTAAGTTAATTCTAACAACCTGTTCGTCACAGAGTATATTTGCTAGGTAAGGTATAATAGAACTTTTATACTTTTCCTTGCGTGCAAGGATTTTTATGTAATTACGTCTCGTTCTACCACAAGATATACAAGGAGAAAGATAAGAGTGAAGGGGATGGCTAGTATCTGATAAAATAACACCTGCCAGGAGTTTGCATGATTTTAAATGTCTGTCCACAACCATATTAATTATGACCTCGAAAGATTCACCGCACGTCTTACTAACTGCCTTTAGCACTCTTCGCAATACAGCAAAGTCTTTTCTCAAAAGCCCGGGAAAGAATAATGGAGAACAGTAAAGAATAATAGGTAATATGCAAGAATTGACAAATTGTAAGAGAAAATGACGAGTAATTCCAAGAGCATGCAATCTCTTTATGTAGTAGGTCAGACGGAAATCCTTCTTTGATAACGATAAAACGTGGGAAGACCAAGACAGATCAGAGGAAAAGGTGACACCAAGATAATTGACCTTCGACACCGCGTTTATCAAAGAGTCTCCGATGGTGCAAGCACTATGGGATCTCAAAATAGTGTTTATATTCCGTTCATGTCTCATGCTAAAGTTAACAGCTTGACATTTAGACGGATTAAGTATGAGACCATTACCAACAGACCAACAATCAATACGAGACAAAAATCCATTCATTTCTATGGGATGTAAAGAGGAAGATATATGCATACATACAGTGAGATCATCCGCATACTTCACAAAAGTGTTTTCTGTGGAAGATGGCAGGTCATGCAGAAAAAAAGAGAAAAGAAGAGGTGAAAGAAAAGCTCCTTGTGGTACACCTTCATGAGACAGTAGAGACTCTGAACTCTTTCCTCCAAACACAGTGTACTGTTCCCTTCTAGAGAGGTAGGGACACAGCCAGTTGGTTATCCAGCTGTCAGTGTTGACGCTGATTAACTTGTTAAGTAAACGTTGTCTTGGTATAGAGTCAAAAGCTGAAGTATAGTCTAGAAAAGCACATCGAACATAGTTCTTACCCTTTTCTAAGTTGAACACTATGTTGTGATGCAGAACTGCAACAGCATCTAAAGTGCTTCTTTTGCGCCTGTATGCAAACTGGTATGGGTCAGTATGCTCTTTTATCGCAGGCTGAAGTGGAAGTATTAATAATTTTTCCATGGTTTTGAGGAAAGGTGAAGTTATTGCAATAGGTCTAAATTTTACATTCTTATCACCAGATGCTTTCTTGGGTACAGGAATTATCTTCATCTTTCTCCACATTTTTGGTATGAGATTAGATGAGAAAGATCTGTTAAAAATAGTTGTGAACGGATGACACAGAACGTCAGCACATTTTTTAAATAGGAGGTTTGGGATACCATCAGGACCCAAACATCGAGATGAATTAAGCGACTGGAGACATCCTCGTACATCAGTTTCAGTGAACGTATGAACACAGCTATTTTTTAACGATTACAAATAAAATACTTTTAATTCTAAATTAACTACAAGTTATCATTTACAATATCATCCATACCTTTAAGTACCTCATCAGGTATACGATCAACATCATGTAGTACTTCTTCGATACGTTGTAATAAAGATCGAGCTTCTTCTAACTCTTCAAATATTAATACACAATCTTCATGTTGACCCCAACCTTTAGGTGGACCACCATATTCAACTTTGTTAACACGAATCGTTTGTTGAAATTGTTCTACATCCCAACAGCTTGGTGAATATAATGGAATATGTGTATTGATGCAATAAGCATGAAATCTGCTTGAATAGTTTTCAAAACAGAAGTCGAAAAGTTTAGAATGACTGTTGAATCTGTAAATCTGTTTCAAAACTCATTGGATTTAATAGATTAAATTTAAAAACTTGAATGTGTTATTTAGTGGATTAAGTAATTAAATCATCAAAAAGATTAATATTTCAACCACCAAGTCCAGTGTTTGACATCGTGACAAATGAATTCACTGGGGTTAACCAGTTGAATTAGTCATCTAAGTTAATTAATTAAAACGAAAATATATGGGACCAAATGGATTACCTTCAGTTACCTCATTGTGATATGAGGGTCAAATAACTAGATTTAGCCAAGCCCCAAAGTATAATAATTATTTGCATTGGAAACTAGACTATTATCACCAAAAATTGCGTTCTACTTTACAAGAACTATTAACTGGTGTAAGTAGTGATGTATATCTGCTCCTGATGCCGCCAAATGAGAACGGCAAAACATTATTTCTGATCCGAAAACTATCTTACCTCAAGATACATTGTGCCGAACATTTAACAGCTGTATTTCATTGTATTGTGGAATTTTCATCTCATATTAGTAACTTGTATTATAATTTTGAATATAAAATTTCAGAACTTAATTATCAACTATGTCTAGCTAAAATAAAAACATCAATGTTACGGACTCAGAGTTCCTTCGAAAGTCATGAGGATGATTCCCCTTCTGACAACAAGAACAACCATTAATTTAGGCACATGAAATGCTAGTACAATGTGGGAGACCGAGAGAATCATAGAAATTGCTGCAGAAATGAAAAGATATAACTTGGAGGTAATTGAAATCAGTGAAATACATTGGACGTAGGTTGGACAACAAAGACTCGCTTCAGGTGAACTGCTGTTATACTCCGGCCATGAAGAAGATAATGCTCCGCATACACAAGGAGTTGCACTGACGCTACCTTTTAGCTGGTCATCTTTTATATATTTTTCATGGTTTAAGCAGTACTTCTTATTTGTTTTATCATTTGACCTTCTTCTTGTGAGCTTATCTCCAAAACTTCGTTTATCTTTACCGGTTCGTCCATTTTGGAAACAAAGTGCCTAATTTGTTTACGTTAATTGCAGTTATTCCCGATTGAAGCAGTCTAGTGTCATTTTTATTTACGAGATGTCCTAGGGTTTTACAGTTTCTAGATTGTTTTGTTGATGGTTTTTTTTATGCCTGGGTATCTCATAACTAGAGACTCGAGTTCATAATGTTTTCTATAAGGTACTTTGACCAATTTCATTTTTTGGTTCCGAGATTTCACGCGTAACTTGGTCACTCAGAATTCCCGAATGAAGCCCATAACAACAATTCAGCACGTGATAATTAAAACATACATATTTCAAAACTTGTCCAATCGCAAAAATTATTGCCTGTTACATGTTTCTCCCTACTTTGTTTTGAAAGTTAAATAATTATATCCTAATTATTTGTCCTACCGACTGTAAATTAGGGAGCAGTTGGACATATATCTCTAGAGCATTCGAGATAATAAAGTGTTATTAAGTGAAAAGTCGAGAAAAAATTTTAATTGATAGTATAAAAAGAGTAATTCAATAAAATATTAATACAAACCCTAACTTTCATTGTTTTAGTTTTTGCGTTCCCATATTTACCTAATGAAAGCGTTCAAAAAATTCATATAATTCGTCCTTAGTTTCTCAAGGCCAAATTAACTATTTACTATTTAAATAGAATGAAATTCCACCACTGAATCTTGGATGTCTTAATATTGTATGTTTATCTACTACTTTTTCAATAACGCTTGTTTTATTGTTCATTTTAATAAGTTCTTCTCCACATTTACTTTATTTTGTAGCGTCAAACGGATTAATATTTGTGAACAGTACTAATTTTATAATTGTTTGTTTATTGAGAAGACATTACTTTTTCACTTTCCAGTTTCACGCACTTTTTTATGAATAAAAATCAACATATACACAACGTAATATTCAAATATTAAGCATTTGTTTGCTTGATCTCATGTGATTGCAGTACAGTTTCCTAAAGACTGAATCCAGCATGAATGAGTTAGTGAAGATTAAGTACTTGGAGTGTCATTCCCATCACTTTTTAAAACGTTTTATCAATTAAAATCTATAATTTAAAGTAAACAAAAGTCTTAAGATGTCGTTTCCACCTACCACTTTTATGAAGAGTCTTTCTAATTTTAGCCTGTTTCTTTTTTGTCTAATCAGAGACAAGAAAACTCAACTTTCACTAGCCCTTCTAAATAACTAAAAAAGACTGATTCAATCAAATGGTGTAGTGAATACTCTAATGATACATAGAATGGCGTTGTTAGCTCTCAGCCAGTCAACAAGTCAGCCGTAAAAAGGAAGTACATAAGTTGATTCAAGTTGTTACACCTCATTGAAAAAACTAGACAAAATTGTCAAGATAAATCCCAGAGTAAAAGAGATAGCAACAGTATTAGTGACAGTGAAAGAGAGTAGGCAGAGAAGATATGATTGGAAGAAATAAGGATTTCGTGGAATATAAAAGATTTACGCAGAAATTGAGAAAGGTATGATCTAAATGAAGGCAAATAGTGAATGCACCTACGCGAATGCGAACGATTCGTAGCTGTGTCACCCAAATTCTTTAACCAGTGGTTGCAATAATTATGTCGACCCCAACCAGGTAGTCTGCATGCAACTACACGGCTCAGCTCCTAGATTTCTTGAAATCTACTCCCACACCAGTCACAGATAGCCGATGAACAGGTATTAGTAATATATAACCCATCTCTGATAATATCTGTCATATGAGTCGAGTTAATCAGTTCAACAGGTTATAGCTTTTATTGTTAAAACTGAAAGGTGATCTAATTTCAATTTATGAGGCATGGATGAATTAGTCCGAATTTCTACAATAGAACCAAGCAATTATTTGATGTTCATTTGTATATACCGATGATTACAACTGCATCAAAATAGACTGGAGGTAGGAAAAATATGAATATTCTAAAATTTAATTAATTTTAATTTATATCTTACCGTCCACCAGTATAAGTGCATAAATTGTGCAAATAGTCTATTGTTTTCATATCTTCACAACAATAAGATACAATATGAAGTGGATGTTTCATATTTTTGACAATATTTTCAAGTAGTTGCGGTGACGTCATTGTTGATTCACCTTCAGTGATTAAATACACTGATTCGAAACTCTATATGTTTGGAAATAATCACAGTAATAATCTTCAAATTCAACGTAGTATTTATTATTTTTGAGGTAAGATAAATTGATTTCGGTTTATGCTCTCACACGAGCAAACGAAATAAAATAAAGGGTGTATTTCATTTGCAAGACATGTATGACATATATTTATACTGAATTATCTACATTTACTAAATTGTGGTAAAATTATTGATCCAGATGGTGGGCCCTGAACTTTTATGTTATGAGCTACAATCCATAATGCCTACTTCAAACTTATTGTTTAGAGGGGCATAAATAACCACAAGATAATAAAACTGGCTTATAGTTTAGAAAGTGAATAAAAAAGTATTCAGTTCAAATTTATTCTCTCAGCACTATTTTTCTAAATTTGGATGTGAAATGACGAAGAATATTAGCAAAGGAGGTAGATGCTTTTGTTGTTGCGTTCTATGAATTAAACGACTTAATCAGCTAGTAGTAGAGTGACATGGAAATAACTTTGCGACCCATACGGAATAGGTTAAATAGTTATAAAGCTAGGGGTTAACCAAAAAAGACGGACAACATTAATTCAAGAACAGCTGAAGGTAAAAATGACCTACACAGAAAGTCAACTGCAAATAAGGTCATCTGAACGAACCAGTGTAAAACTTGCTAAGTGACTAAAAAGCTTATTTCTGTATAAATATTAACTAATAACGTTGTCCAGAACAACAACCAAAGCTCCATAGTAAAATCTCCTAGTATAGAAAACAAAGCACAACCAAAAACGCTTTCATTCATATAAAAAGCCACTGTCAACTCTTGATATGTATGCAAGATTCTGTACTGAATTGTTTAACTAGCATATGTCTTATTGCAGTTAGTTTTTGTAATTGTCTTCTTGTTCCATATTATACCGTAAATCTCAATATTTCTACTTGATAACTTTCCATAGACTATTGGCATTCTTTGTATTGCTATGACAGCAAACTATAAACTTTAAGTATTAATTTTAAGCACATCACGGTGTGCTTAGAACAACCAGAAATATTCAAAAACGTCGTAACTATCAAATCAAAAACTTTATTCCTACTAATGTGTGGTATTTTAGTGGTAGATATCGACGGAACTCAAGGTCCTTAGTGATATTAGTTGGGTGCAAGATTTCATGATATCGTCCTGGTGCTCATAGTGAAATTCAAAACCCAACCCCTTCAGTTAAAAATTTGTGACTTTATCTAGCTGCACAGTGACTTTTGATATCCACCTCTTTGGCAGCAATTAACTAATACAAATAACTTCCTTCATGAATTTAAATAAAGCAATAACAACAGCCGATACTGAATAATATTATATTATTTTTATCTCAAAGTCCAGCATAAGCTACCTACAACCGTATTCATATTGAAGTATAATATTATATTACGTAAGATATTGATAGCTAAAAAGATCGAAACGACAAAAACTATCAGTACTATAGGTATTTATGTACAAAAATAAGACCAAATGAAGATAGATATCAAAAAAACTTTTGTAAGGAATCAATCATCCAGAAAGCGAAAATCCATGGGACGATTTGTGTAAAATTCAAAGAGGTTTGAAGAATTTATATAGGCTTGAGAAATGGGTGAGCAAAACTCGCAGACGAGTAGAGAGATCATTTTTAAGAACATGAAATGAGGAAGAAAAGAGCAAAGAAGCATAAACAATATTACTGATAATAATGAATGGTTTAATCAAAATTATCCAATCACGATGGCTGTGATAAGTTACAACGATGGAGAATATTTTCACTCCAAAGAAGTAGTGATAACTTGATAGCTTTTTAATTACCGATTTTGTTATTCGATTTTAGGTATATTTCAAAGTGAGTAGTTTTCCAAACAATTGATAAAAACAACTAAATAAAAGCAATTATGCATCATACTGTATCATGTAATGTCTTCACTTCAACAATTGATTTACAAATTGTGGCTTAAAGCAGTTTTTAGAAGATAACCCATATCGATATCATTAAAGTAGTATTATATATCAGTGGAAGTTTATTTTAAGGACAGTACATTCGCCGGCTTTTTTAACGGATGCCCTGTAACTAGGCTTAATAAAAGAAGTATTGATTTATGGTGGCAGAACCATTACATAATTTAAAAGATAACTTATTGAAACTCCGTTATAAAAAATAGAACTATGTGGATCAACATTTGTTCTAGAGCCTATGAGTGTTTGGTACTGAGTTTCTATGTAGATCCAACTTCTACGATTGACAGTAACAGTGCAAAAACAGTTCATGTCCCTTTAGAAATTTTCGATCCTTACTCAAAATAATATTTTTTTCCTTTAAGCACTGCTTCATCCAGATCTAAGAAGATTATTTCGTCACCAGCCTTTGAAAACTACTTTAAAACTAAAAACATCAAGGAATAACTCGCCACTCAGTAGTATGGAGTGCATTTGATCCTCTTGGTTTAAGACTTAGTCACAACTATTAGTTTAATCTGTTATCACAGCCGTTAGACCGATCTACGCTAAAATGGGTTAATACTGCGACTCGATTTTAAAACACTCGAACGTTTTCTAATTCCAGATACCTAAATTATCGATAGTAGGATTTTAGTGTATTACTGGTTATTAAGTAAACGACAAGGAGTGGAAAACATTCACAACTAAACGTAATTGACAAGTAGTTCTATAAAATGTTAAGAGATACTAATAACTACTACATAGTTTCATGCTATCAGTTCAAATACAAATAAATACGTATTTATTAAATATTATGGACGAGAGCATAATATTTAAAGACCTCGCGTGTCTGATAGGCTTCCATGATTAACGGTGATAGCATATCGAACGAAAGTAATCTGGCATGTTAGTTTGGTTGAAGAAGGTCAAGTTTAAAATTCGCCGATAGATCTTACCTGATATTGTAAAATTCGACTTTGAGACTTTCTGTGTTAAATTACCTCTCTCGCCAAAAAAACTGACATCCTCTAATGCTTAGGATTTGTAATGTGTGTACTGGGGCACTGATAGTAATTCAGTTGGTGTTGTTACTCTGAAACACCTAATTCCGTATCTTGAACATGTTTCACGAGTATCATCTCAAGGGCTTCTTCCTCGCACATTAGTTGCTAACGCCCTGATGGGATGCAAATAGCGATAGTTTATGGCATCTTATCAGTTCATTTGTGACGTAAGTTTGGTGTCTTGTTGTAGTATATTATATGTAATGTACATAAGTCGATATCGACATTTTCCATCAGTCCTTCCCACCCCCAATACAAAAATTAATTTTGAATACGTACATTCCATGCCCTCAAATGCCTTGATACGGCCGAGAGTGGAGAGACTCCGCACTCCCTCTCGAAATACTCTCACACGGCCACGCGTATAAAGCCTCTGCCAGGGAAGTCCTACTCACTGCCTTCTCGTGGCATGGGTGTTGTTTACGAAAATGAGAGGACGAAAAGCGAATGTCCAGCGCTTTAACCGGATCCCAAACCAATGGTGCACATGGGCTCCAGTATCCTGAGGGAACAAATGGCCTATGAACCAATCGTTGGTCACCGGCTACCATAGGACTGCATCTCCTTACGATGCTCCACTGCCTTGTGGGCTAGACCTTTAGGTCAAAGGCTCGGGGTGTGGCCCCCTAAGAAAACCACCTGCTTCGGTCTGGGCACCCGGGCAGTATCGCAGCCCACATGCAAATGATGAACACTCTAGATCTATGGAAACTACTTTTCTCGCTTCGAATAACAATCAAGTGATTCAAATGATTCAAATGATTATTATTATTATTATCATTATTGTTTTTATTTACCACATTATTCACCCTCTTTTATACTTATACAGCGGCTCGTCTTTGGTGGAAATTCGACTGTATCTAAACGTTCTCGAGTCACTGCCCGGTTGAAAATTCTATGTTACCACTGAATATGAGTACTGAAGCAGTTTTTCTGGAACCACGTGCACCATTCAAACTGGCTGTCTTCAACGTTCGCACACTTATGCAGGTCGGACAACAGATAGGGCTGGCTATGTCTTTGAAAAGTCTTAATATCGATGTCTGCTGTCTATTCGAGACCCGTATTCAAGACTCTGGTGAAGTACTACAAATTCGCTCTCTATCTGTCGCTTCGAAAAGCTTGTTTTACGTGCGCTTATCCGGGGACCCTGTGGCATCTTCGTCTGGTCTTGCTGGCGTTAGTGTCGCACCAAGCGCTAGAGATGAGGCAGCACTAATCGATTGGATCCCCATTAACAGTCGGTTATGTGCTGTTAGATTAGAGAGTTCCATCAAAGTGAGAAGAAATCGGCGTGAGAAACGATGTGTTTTCGTCATCTCCGCCTATGCCCCAACAGATTGCAGCCCGGATGCAATCAAGGATGAGTTTTACCACCAGTTAACTGTTCTTCTCCAGAAAGTGCGTTCGACAGATATTGTAGTACTGGCCGGAGACTTGAATGCTCAGGTCGGGCGTCTAGGCACAGAAGAGGATTATTTAGATGGTAGCTGGAGGTAGTCAACAGGAAACCCTGGACCCGGGCTTCGTGCTACTTGGCACTCGTCAGCAAGGTGTACCTGTAATCTTGAGGGAACTGGTGCTCCCTCGCGGATCCGATCTCGTGTCACCCAGCTTCACAGTCAGAGACGTTACCACTGAGCTATCCGAGCCGTGAAACGACATTGATCACCACCCAGTGATCAATCAATTGTGAATTCATCTCAGTCCTACAGGAGGTTAGTCACGGCTCGGATAGCTCAGTGGTAACGTCTCTGACTGTGAAGCTGGGTGACACGAGATCGAATCCGCGAGGGAGCACCAGTTCCCTCAAGATTACAGGTACACCTTGCTGACGAGTGCCAAGTAGCACGAAGCCCGGGTCCAGGGTTTCCTGTTGACTACCTCCAACTACCATCTAAATATCAATACATAGTGCCCGCAGTGTCGAGTCACCTAGACTGGTGGCCACATTGCAACATGATCGATAGCATTCGATCTGCACTAATAAAGACTAGACAACCATGACATTGATCACCACCCAATGATCAATCAATTGTGACAGAAGAGGTTTGTTTAGGTGGCCGATGGGGACTTGTTGATCGCAGGACAGATAACTGGGACCGTTTACTGCAACTGTGCACAGACCACAACCTGTTTCTGGCTAGCACTAACTTTCGACACAGTCATCGCCGATGTGCCACCTGGCGTCCTCCCTCTGCATCTCAAGCCTGGACTCAGATTGATCACATCGCGATCAGCTACCGCTCTCGTGGTTGTGTACGAGACTGCCGCTCCTTTTCGAGTACCTATCTGGACTCTGACCATGACTCGGTCTGCGCCAATCTTACCTTACTTTTCAGTGGACAACAAAGTGACCGCCATCAACGGATTGATGTTAGCAAGCTGGTTGCAACTTCTGTTGCTAGTAACTATCGAAACGAGCTAGCTTCTAGGCTAGCTACCATTCCACCGAAAAGCATAGATGAGCATCGGTCGCAATTGCATGACCCCATCAAAATGGCTGGTGCAGTCAGTTATGGGTTCGCGAAACGTCCCACTTACAAGCACTGGGTTTCTTCAGGTTCCTTACAACTCATTGAAGCCCGTCGGTCTACTCCGGGTGACCGTGAGTTTGACCACAAACGAAGGATGTTACGTAATGAAATTGGGCAAAGCTTGCGTAAGGACCGAGAAGCCTGGTGGTCGGAACGTGATAATGAGCTGGAAGCAGCAGCTGTATCTGGTAATTACCGGAAGCTCTTCCAACTCATCCGAGCCACTGGCAGCAAGAAGTCTGGTGTGAGCGAAACAATCTGCGAGGATGATGGGAGGCCGATCACTAACATCCATCGACGTCTTGGACGATGGGCAGAATTTTTCGAAGGGCAGTTCAACTGGCCTGCTCCGGCAACATCGGTCAGACTGTTCTGCCCTCGATGGCCGGTGACGACTAATCCACTAAATGAGGCGGAAGTCCGCAAGGAACTCCAAGTCTTCAAGCGTTACAAATCACCTGGCCCAGATGACTTACCTCCGGCTCTTTTTAAAGATGGTGGTGACTTTCTGACTAAGGAACTGACGACGTTGTTTACAAAGGTCTGGGAGTTAGAGAGTGTACCAACGTCATGGAATGAGTCGATAGTTGTCCCTATCTTTAAAAAGGGTTCACGTCGTTCCTGTAACAACTATCGGGGGATAGGTCTACTTTCGATTGCCTCCAAGCTATTGGCTTCCGTCATACTTCGTAGACTGTTCAAAACCCGAGAAAGATTGACTCGCGAGGAGCAGGCTGGGTTTCGTTCTGGTCGAGGATGTATTGATCATATCTTCACCCTCCGCCAAATGTTAGAACACCGTCATACTTATCAAAGGCCAACAATCGTAGTGTTTCTGGACATTAGGGTTGCCTTCGACTCGTTGAACAGGACTGTTCTCTGGGATTGTCTATTGAAGAAGGGTGTGCCTGAGAAGTTTATTAACATCCTGAAAGCCCTGTATAAAAACACCTCAGGCAGAGTGAGGGCATACAAACACCTCTCTCCATTGTTCCATTCGAGCAGTGGGGTTAGGCAGGGTTGCCCAATCTCACCATTCCTCTTCAACTTTGCCATCGATGACATTCTGGAAACAGCTCTGATGGATGTAAGTAATGGCGGTGTGTATCTGTTGCCTGGAGAAAGACTTCTCGACCTTGAGTATGCGGATGATATTGTCTTACTGTGCGAGAATGTCCAAGGCATGCAATCCGCACTTAATCAGTTGGAAATCAATGTCCGTAGGTATGATATGTGCTTTGCACCTTCGAAGTGCAAAGTACTTCTACAAGACTGGCAGGATTCTAATCCTGCACTCACCCTGGATGGTGAGCAGATAGAAGTAGTCGAGAAGTTCGTGTATCTGGGTAGCTACATAAGTGCTGGTGGTGGTGTGAGTGATGAGATCAATGCACGAATAGTGAAAGCCAGAACGGCGTATGCCAATCTGGGCCATCTTTGGCGCCTTCGTGATGTTGGTCTGGCTGTAGAAGGTGGGATTTACAACGCGTCGATGAGAGCAGTTTCGCTATTTGCTTTTGAAACCGGGCCTCTCCGAGTTGAGGACGTTAGACGACTCTCTGTGTTCGATCATCGGTCTCCGGAGGATTGCTGACATCCAGTGGCAACACCATGTCAGTAATGCAGAGGTTCGGCATCGTGTGTTCGGGCACAGAGACGATAATTCAATTGGTGTGACCATCTTGAAACACCGACTTCGGTGGCTTGGACATGTTCTCCGAATGTCGTCCCAGAGACTTCCACGTCGTGCATTATTTGCCGACACTGGGACTGGTTGGAAAAAGCGGAGAGATGGTCAGTGCATGACATGATGTCGTGGTATGAAAGAAAGCTGCAAAGGACTGGCTTCTGTCGGCCCATCACGACTCCCTGGCTGGGGTCCGAGAGATGGTGCAACACAGACGTTAGAGACGTTATTAGATATGGCTCCGAATAGAAGCCAGTGGCGATCCTGTTGTAACCTTCTTTTACTTTCTTCATAAAAAAGTGGTTGTCTCCCTTAACTGAAAGATTTTTTCTGATTGTACCTTTCCGTTTCCTCATTATTACTATTATTATTACTACACTACCTTACACCAACCTCTTCGTTATTGTTCTCTCTTTTTTACGCTCCTTACCTTTTTTTCTTTCTCTTCGAATTCTCATTGTTTTGTGTGGCGCATATATATTGGCGCTCTCTTGTACCAATATTTATGTGTTCAAATAAATAAATATAATAACGTACATTCCATAAACTCATTAGTTCTGATAGACAATCAGAGAAATAAATTGACGAAAGTGAAGTGAAATAAAACGAAGTGATGCGCAGTGGAGAAGGTGAATGAGCTAACTCAATTTAATCACATGTGACTAAATATTTTTAGACAGACCAAAGACTAGTTACAGACATGTAATGAGTAAGGTAAGCAATTAACAAACGTACAATCATATAAGAACAGTCAGAGTTAATAAGCAAGGTCAAAATATGGCTTGAAAAAAATGAATAAACTGATTTGTCCAGAAGCTAGAATAACCTATGTGGGCTTGACATAGAATCAGCCACTACAATCATTTAAAAACCATGATGGAATAAATTCAGGTCAAAAACTGTAAAAACTTGTCACATTACGTTGTGATGACTCCATTAGTTAAATTTCAAAGATAAGTTGGGTATTTAACACCATGGGCAAATGAAGGTTAGCTGACCCACTGGCCTTATTTCTGAGGTCTGAAAAATGGGCATGAGCGGAGGAATAATGCATCCTACTTCGTAGTGCATAAAATGTGAACTTTTTGTTTTATACAATGTCTAAGCTTAATTGTGCATAAGCTGCAA